ATGGAGGGTGTGAGTTTGGCATGCTCACGATTCCGCGACGCGCGGGGGATACGGCCACTGCCGCCGTGATCGGGGGGGGGGAAGGGGGGGCGCACCCCGGGCGGCACCCTGACGACACGCAATATGGGAGGCGTGGGCGGGGCTGGGCAAGCCCGAGGCAAGCCCGCCGCCGGTCACACGCATGTGACGGTTGGAGTAGTTGTGAATAGGCGTCATTGACGAAAATTGGCCGGCTAACCGCGATAGGCTTCGTAGAAAGACGTTTTGTTGTCCGGTTCTGAACTGATTTACGTCAGGCCATAAGTTCACCGAGCTGTGTTTTTCTCGAGGTGCAGTATCGGTGTGAAGTGTGTCTGATTCTATTATTTACAGTCATGTGCCCTAATTTCGGACCAGGGCCCTAATTTTTGGACAAAACACGTTGAAATGCTTAAATTAATATATCTCAGCCAATTGTTGTGATATTCAAAATCCGAAAACTGCATTGGAAAGACAAGTCCTACAGTACTAGGATACATCTTTTTGGTGTCGGTACCACTTTTCAGGTAACGCCTACAGATCTTTGAAAATAAAATATGCGAAAAGGAAATCGCGTAGTTTTTAAGAAGGCTCTCCGGAAGTCCAGGGCTCGAGGACTTTAGAGCTGCCCCGGGGCTGGGGGCTGACCGTTTCACACATTATACTATAGCCCTTCGCCGACAAAATGACGTTTTAAAGTTTTTCATCTGTCAAACCATTTCCTTTTTATGGGCTAGTTTATGTAAGTGCTCCAATTTCGGACAGTCAGATTAAATTGTGGTGAAATTACATTTTCATCGCAGATTTTAGTAGAGACTGCTGTTTTCGCTACTACGGAGGTGCACTATGGTACACTAGATCCCCATCTTCTCAATTCTTCTTTCAGACTTAAAATATTGCAAAAGACAGCCAAGATGGGTAGAGTTTACAATTTCTTCTAGATTTTGTCCGAAATTAGAGCACTTTGTCTACAAGCAGTGCACGCTACCTTTAGGCATAATTTCGCACCCTGTGACCCTGTGCGTAAGCATAAAAGGTCAAAATGGGTGTCATCCGACGGGTCTTGAGCCGTAGTATTTAAAGAGGGAAAAATTCCGCTGAGTTTTTTCAAAATGCAGACGTGTCCGAAATAAGAGCACTTTCAGTCCCTAATTTCGGACAGTCTTAAAATGGCTGCTATTGTTTACCATGCTGAGCTATAAATTTTACACGGGTATCATTCGATAGGTCCTGACCCATAGTACCTTCAATCTCAACAGATTTTTTATACTCTATCAGGTGTGCACGAAACAAACGGAAAACAGCTAATTTTGTCCGAAATTAGGGCTCATGACTGTACGCAACAAACGCAACAATATCTAAATTAAACGCATACACTTTTCATCGCCTCCCGTTACGTTTATGTAACAAACAATAACTATACGTTACGGACCCCCTGCGAGGAAGTCGAGGCCAGCACACCACGCCCCTCGCGACACCGGGTGGGCCGCCCCCTGAGCCCCCCCCC